TACAGTCAGACTTGCAAAAAAAACCCTGGGATGTTCAAAATCAATTTGGGGATACAGAATTACCCAAAACTTAATAGCAACATCTGTGCATTTTATTTATATATTCAGGAAATGTGTTTGTTGCTTCTCCAGAGAAGCTACTCAAGGTGGCTTAAAAAGTAAAACATGATAAAACCATAGAACAGTATAAAAATGTTAAAACCAACAAATAAAACCACAGCTAGAGGTTTTCACAGCAATCCAAAAGAGTTGGTGTGTTGTGTTTTCATGCTGCAGATTTCTGTGTTTTTAGAGAACATGATACGTATATAAAAGAAAAAATAAGCTTTCATTTTCCATGGGTCACCTTTATTTCATAAATAGAAACAAGATTCAGAAGAAATTTAATCTTACGAGGAAGAAGACTTCGTTACACCAGAACTCAATGGGATGACCAGCAACCGCTGACACTATTCTGAGCTGCCGTCTCTTGCATTCAGTTTCCAGAAACAAGCTAATTTCCCCCTAGGATATCATGCTGTTTCCAACTTCTCTTCAGCTCCTTCATTCCTTTCTTGTGTCTAACGACAGTGTGGCTAAAAGGGGGAGATAGAGATGGACGGGTCTTGAATCTGCCTGCCTTTAGCACTTCCTTCTCTGCCCAAGAGCTAGACTTGATGGGCTCATAGGTTCTGTGTAATTATTGAGCTAGTTTTGCTCCCCTGTTGAATACTCAATGAGAAATTATTGCAGTGGTATTCATCTCCTCTGACCTTCAATTAAACACTACCAAATTTAGAGGTCTGAGGCTGTTATAATGAGATGAATGAGAAAAATTAGTTAATTAGCTACATAGAATTTTTTATTTGCTGCTTCTCTCCCTGAAGAGTCTGAAAGTTACTTACAACAATTAAAAAGCAATCAAAATACTACACAGAGAGAGAGAGAAAGAAAGAGAATATCCGATTCTGCAAGCGCGAAGGAGACCTGTCAGTGAAACATCATGACCCAGTGACAAAGTGTTGAAGATAAAAGTAATGGACAAGTGCTCTTATTTTAAGCTAGCTCAAAGGCAAAGCTTGTGGAGAATTAAGTCCTAAGGCAAGAATTCTATAACAACAGTTAAAGCTTGCTTGGCTGCATTTAAACTTAGACCTAAATTGGTCTTGGCCAAAGCTAACCGTCAGCATAGAGTTTTAAAGCTGGAAGTTCTTCAGGGGTAGAGCATGAAGGTCCCATGTTCAGTCTTTGAAATATCTAGTTGAAGGTTTTCAAGGACCAAGTCACCATGTTGAGAAACATGTTCTAGGAGTTCTGAGGTGGGAACTTAATCTCCAGGCACACATGGGCCCAACTAAACCTCTCCATATACACATATAATTTTCCCAATCTGAGTCAGTGTTGCCCCACTGGGAGAACTTCCATGTAGCCATTGGTATAACTGCAAATAGCAGCTCCCTGGGGCTGTTTCTGACCAGGAATGTGGGATGAGGGTAAATGTTCTTTCCCATGCACCATAATTCTGATCCAAATTATGTCCACAAGTGCTTGATAACTACGTTCCCAGCACTGAACTCCCAGCTTGCATCTAGTCCATGTGTCCACTAAGTAGACTCTAAAAGCAGTAAATTGGCCCTCAGGGGACAGTCTTCTGAAAGACCTCCCTACTCGTGTTCTGGAGGGCTATTGCTGGTCAGAACAAAAATACTGAGCTAGATGAACAATGATTCAATATCAGAAAAAGAGGAGGAGGAGGAGGGGAATTAGATTTATACTCTGTCCTTCACTCGGAGTCTCAAGCTGTGGTCACACACACTTTCAATCCACTTTCAGTGCACTTTCCAACTGGATTTTACTGTGTAAACTGGCCTCCTCCTCCTCCTCTTCTTCTGATATTGAATCATTGGGTGTTGAATCTAAGTCTCCTGGTTTAATCGTATTTGCGAAATGAAAATGAACACAATTTATTTCAGCATAAATTTTCATGAGTCAGAGTTCACTTTATCAGACACATGAAATGTTCCCCCATTAGGCTCTATCTGCCTAATGAATGAGTAATTCAAGCACCTGATGAAGTGAGTTCTGACTCATGAAAGTATATGCCAGAATAAATTTGTTATCCGGCTCCTGTGTGGTTTCTTGCTGTAATATTTACCCTTCTCAATTTGCTGGAGGGAATTTTGTGAACAATAATATTTGTTGATCCTAACATAGCTTCTTAAAGTAATTCAGCCCCTGAAGCAGAACTCCTTCCCCCTAATCTATCTCTGGAAAAAAAGATGATGTCTTTACCGTAAACTAGATAATTTCACATCATTGGCATTATTTTGCTATCATCATTTTAACATATGGCAGTCTGTTGGCCATTATACATTATCCCTTTGAGTTTATTAAGTGGAACTTGCACCTAGCTGGAATCAGGAATATATAGAGTTGCCAACCTCCAGGTGGGTCTTGGAGATCTCCCAGAATTACAACTCATCTCCAGACTACAGAGATCAGTTCACCTGGAGACAATGGATGCTTTGGAGGGTAGACTTTATGGCTGAATCCCCTGCTGAAGTCGCCCCCCCAAACCCCACCCTCTTAGGCACCACCCACAAATATCCAGGAATTTCCCAACCCAGAGATGGCAACCATAGGAATATACCTATCTGCCATAGCTGTAGTAGCCAAGAGCCAATTCAAAAACATTTTATATAAGTGTGGAAAAACTTGCGTAAGTTCCTGCATATTTTGAACCACTGCTTGCTCTAACATGCTACTATGTGATACTGTTTGTGATAGCCCTTGGCTGTTGGAGTAACTTGAATATCTAAATAACAAAGGCACTAGCCTCCCTTATCGAATGATTCTAAGGACTGTTAAAACAGCGCATGTGAAATTCTTGGAGCATTACAAAAAACATGCTAGGTAAGAGCTCCACTGGGTGGAGCTTCCTCTGTGACCTGAGCTGCAGAGAATAAAGAACCACCACTTTATCTCTTTGCTCCAGTAAATGCAAACATACAAGATGAAGCACTTGGGAAATGAAGTTAAGTCACAATGGCATAACAGACCACTAAACAAGGTAAGTGTAATTCAGAAAGATTAGAGCTTGATTTCCCCCCCCCTAAACAACAATATTGTTAAAAATAATCTATTTATTAAATGTTTTCTTCTCAGAGCGACATTTGGGGGAATGGATTATTGTGTTCATTCTGGTTTGTAGTTGAAAGTGTTTTTGCACAGAAAGCAGTAACAGTCATTTCTGCCCGACTGATATTTAATTTGTTAGAGAAGAGTTAAATGGTGACTTGTGTTCTCTTTATGTATTTAAGTACATATGTACAATAAATGGTGAATGCTGAGTGTCCCATCCCCCTGCAGTGCATGAATAAAAACAACAGTGTTCAAGAGTGAAGTAAGCCCATGCAAGGATCCAGCTACTGAACATTATACTTTTAATTATGAGACATACAAAATTCAGTCCACCCTTTAAAGCAGCCATTTTCTCCAGGGGAGCTGATCTCTGTCAGCTGGAGATCAGTTGTAAAAGCGGGAGATCCCCAGGCCCCACCTGGAGGCTGGCAACCCTACTAACATAATATTTGTCTCTAATATATATTTATTTATATAGACAGAAATACAGCATTGGGTCAGATCAGAAACAAGGTTTGCTTCTCTCTCTTTCTCTGTATATGGTTTCTCGGTGAGAAGCTCTGTTTATTTCAAGTATGAAAAGGCAAGCAAGCAAAGGATGGGGGGGGAGGAATAAAGGTGTGGGGAGGAAATGAAAGATTTCTAATAAGAAACAGTAAGCTTAATATTAACATTAACATTAAAAAATCTCTGCTGGGCTGCACTTTCCAGTTCACTGAGACCAGGCTGTTTCCAATCCCACCCTGGCAAGAGCTTGAGAACTGGACCCAACAATGGTTCTAATGGGGGAGAAGAGCTTGGTTTGGCCCCTGGAACTACTCCACAGTCAACAGCTGTACTTCTCTGCATAACTCCTGTGCCTTGAAACTGACTCGCAAGTGCCTCCCAGCTGTGTTTTCAAAGCCCTGTAGCCCACTAAACCCTGCCAGACAGTTTGGAAGCACAGAAACGGGAGGGAGCTTTTAGTCCAATTATCTCTGTGCTGCAGTCCTGAGATTTGTTCTGGGGTACGACAAGGATCCCCTTATCTCCTGCAGCCGGGGCAGACCACTCCTGCCGCCCTGCCCTTGGTACACCACTGCCTGATGGGGAGGTCAATGGTTAAATTCACATGCACGTGAACATCAGATGGCACATATGCAATTTAGGATCTGAGCCAAAGTGTGTCTCTATGTTCCGGGAGGCCAACCACTCGTGAGTCTCTTTCATGCAAATTATATTCCAAAATTTTTGGAAGTCAGATCTACATGCGCTTATTTCCTTTTTTAAAATGATTATATCCTTCCCCCCCTTTCTTGAAACCAAAATCAAAGCAGCTTGCAACAAGTCAAAAAGTATAAAAATATAAAACTGTTAACAAATAATAAAATCAAAACAATAAATATGGGCAAAACCCAACACAAAAGCCACCAAAAGCATTCACAAACTTTTTGTTCCCCTCCTCTTTTACTGTAAAAACTCTTGATGTGTTGTGCTAGGGAGAGAATTTTATCCCTTAGCTGAGATGGTTCCACTCACAGTCCAATGATTCTGACGTGTAAAGAGCATGCATGGCCTTTCTGAAAGAAAAACTTCTAGAATTGATTAGAAGTGGCACTTAAATAACTATACAAAGTACAATCGTATTTATGCATAAAAGTATCATACTTGTGCAATATATATTTTTTCATAATTGTGCAGTGAGTAAAGAAGTTACATTTATTTTATGATATCTTCTCGAAGAGAGAAAAGTGGGACAAAATTACTGTGCAAACGATAAATAACGAGGTTTGTCACACTTTGCATTCTTGGACTTTTAGTAATTTTGTATTTTGCTGAATACAGAATGCCGTCTGCCTTGCGCCTGTAGACACCCAACTCAGCCTGGTTTCTTTTAATTCTCCCGTCAATGAAATGGTAGGCAAATATAAGACCATTCTCGTCACCACAGAGGATAAGATCACAAAGATAATGCTGAATCGCCCAGACAAGAAAAATGCTATCAACCTTGTGGTGAGTAAAACAAGCAAAAGCTGCTGGTTATAGAACCCAGAATAATTGCATTACAGCCACATTTGAAATTAATAGCAGGCATGTGGTTCCAGTTAAATCAGCTAGAGGGCTGGGCACACAGATGTCATCAAGATGTATCCATTATCTAGCAAAAAATGTTCTCAGAGATGCAGCTGATTTCATGGAGCCTTAATCAAAATAGCCTGTTGAAAAGTACTGAGACATACTAGTGATTTCAGCTCTCATACTTTATTTCAGCTCAGAACAAGACAAGAGTCACCAGCTCGCAGGCTGGTTTATATGTGTATAACCCCACACCCCCAAACACACCCACACCCAAGTGATTGGCTATTTACAGTGGCCGAGAGTTCCATAGGCTCTCGGCCAGGAGCCTAACCTGCCAATAGGATCCGGCTAGGATCCACTTGTCCCATGGTTCTTGAGAACGAAGCTCTGTTGCTTCGCCTGACCACGTGGTCTGAGATGGATACATTACACCCCTCCCCCCTTCGTCCAAAAGACACCCACACACAAAGTCCTGCAGATAGGAGGGGGCTTTACAGGTTCTTGTAGAGCAGCGAGGTGCGGGAACCGGGGCGGAATGTGCCACCGGGGCACTCGGCTGAGAGATGGGCGGAGTTGGCGGTTGGGGTGCTGGTAGCGCTGTTTCTCGGGGCCCGGTCGTGCGGTTGGCTGGAGCTTCGATGGGAACCTCATTTCGCTGGGCCAGGTTGTCCGGTAGCTGAGGCGGAGTGGGAGTCTCCGGGGTGTCTGGGTCCTCGAAGTCCTTGGGGTTGCGTGGCAGTACCTGTTGCCGCAGCTGATCAATGTGCCGGTGAAGTATCAGACCATCTTCGCTGGAAACATCGTAGGACCTGGGTCCCTGGACTCTCACCACCCGGGCCGGAATTCATGGCGGGCCTTGCGCATAGTTCCGGGCGTAGACCGGGCTTGCGCTGCCATTTCGTCTGAAATTATGGATTTTGGGTGTCGTTCTCTGGCCAAAGAGGAAGGCGGCCAGCTTGTAGTCCCAGTCCTTGCTGTCCAAACGGCAGAGCCCCTCCTTGGTCATCCGAACCATGCGTTCGGCTTGGCTATTGGTTGCTGGGTGGAATGGGGCCGATCTGACGTGGCAAATTCCGTAATAACGGGTGAAGTCCTGGAATTTGCTAGAGGTGAAGGCCGTGCCATTGTCGGTGACTAGGGTGTCGGGAATACCCTGGGCACTGAAGATGTGCCACATGGTGGCTCTCGAGGAAGTGGATGGTACCGGAACGACCTTGAGCCATTTGATGTATGCATCCACAAGTATAAAAAATATTTGAACCTGGAATGGCCCCGTGAAGTCCAAGTGGAGCCGAGACCAGGGCTTGTGCGAGGCCTCCCAGGCTCTAGCGGGAGCCCGGGGAGGCTCGGGCCAGGATTCTTGGCAGGGCTGACACCTCTTGACCCGGTCCTCAATGTCCCGATCCAGCCCCGGTCACCAGATGTAACTTCTGGCCAAAGCTTTCATCCGGACCACCCCGGGATGCGTCTCATGGAGCGCCGTAAGGACTCGTTCCCTTAAAGGGGCTGGGATCACCACTCTGCCACCCCACATCAAGCAGCCTTTGTGTGCCAACAGCTCATCCTTGTGGAATGCAAAGGCAGTGAAGTCCGCCCCCCTGGGGCCCTAGGCCACCCCCTTCTCACCCAGTCCAAGACGTGGCAAAGGATCGGGAATAGCTTCCAGAAGCGCGGCCTCATGAGCGGGTTCCAGTTTTGGATCCAATGACGGCAACGGGAGGCGGCTGAAAGTGTCAGCATGTCCCATCGCTTTTCTGGGCTGATGGACCCGCACATACGAGTAACCTGCCAAAAAAACAGACCACCGGAGCACCCGGGGAGACATCATCTGGGGGGTTTGGCGGTTGGGGGCCAGGAGGTCGAGGAGTGGTTTATGGTCTGTTAGGATCGTGAACGGCTGACCATACAAGTAGTGGTGAAATTTTTTCACCCCCCTACAATAGCCAGCGCCTCCTTGTCAATCTGTGCATAGTTATGCTCGGCAGATGACAGGGTGCAGGAATAATAAGCTACCGGAACCTCCCAGCCGTCCGGAAACTGGTGACTCAAGATCGCCCCAACCCTGTATGGAGAGGCATCGCAGGCCAGGACCACGGGAAGGGCCTCATTGAAATGGGAGAGGACTGAGTTGGAGACAAGAAGGTCTTTAACTGCCTGGAAAGCAGCGGCGTGCTCCGGGCCCCAGACCCCCGAAGCATTTTTATCCAGTAGGCGGTGCAGAGGTTCCGTCACAGCGGCCTTCAGAGGGAGAAAAGAGTTATAGAAGTTTAATAGGCCTAGGAAAGCCTGTAGTTCCATCTTGGATGTAGGTGGAGGAGCCTGCGAGATAGCCTTTGTTTTCTCTTCCGTGGGGTGGATACCCTGGGCGTCTACGGCAAACCCCAAGAACTCCACCTTGGGAACCCCGAGCAAGCATTTCTCCCGCTTGACCTTCAGCCTGGCTGTGTCGAAACGCTGGAGCACCGCCCGCAGTCGGTTGGCGAAGGTCGAGGTATCTGGGTCCGCGATGAGCACGTCATCTAGAAACGGCTGCACTCCTGGAATACCTTTTAACAAATTGACCATAAAAGATTGAAAGATTCCCGGCGCGACCGATACCCCAAACTTGAGCCTATGTACTTTGAAAGCCCCCTTGTGTGTCACTATCGTTTGGGTTTCTGCCGTGGCAGTATTCACCGGCAGTTGCTGGTAGGCCTGTGCCAAGTCCAGTTTGCTGAAAATCCTCGCCCCTGCCAGTGCGGCTAACACGTGGCTGACTGGGTACGCGTGGAGGGCTTTGTTCAATGTGCATTTATAGTCCACACAAATCCGCACATCGCCATTGGGCTTGACTGGGGTGACTATCGGAGTCTCCCACTGTGCAGAAGCGACAGGCTCTAACACCCCCTGGGCCACCAAGCGGTCTAGCTCTGCCTCGATCTTTGGCCTCATCGCAATTAGGGGGTGTCTGGCCTTAACACGGATGGGGCGGATAGCCAGGTCGAGGTTGAGGGAAATGGGGTTTCCTGTGTAGCGGCTGAGTGTGCCATCGAAAACCTGGGGAACTCATTGCACACAGCCACAAAGTCCGCTGCCCGGAGCTGATTCACCCCCGCGATCGTCAGTCCCAGGGGGCCGAACCACGAAAGTCCAAGCAGACTGGAGAGCCTTCCCTCCACCACCAGCAAGTCCAATTTACCATGGAAGTCCTGAAATTGCACCGTAAACTTGCCCCAGCCCTGAACCGCCACAGGGTTTTTGTTAAAGTCCCGTAACTTAAACCCCTGTGGTTTACGCAGAAGGGATCTCCCCTGTGGGCAGAGCGAGTGCAGCGTCTCCTCTGAAATGATGGAGTCGTTAGAGCCAGTGTCTATTTCCATGCTGCAGGGGGGCCCTCTATAAGGACCGTCACATGCATCTTATTTGGGCTATCGGGGGGCAAGTTACATACCTGGTGCTGCTGGTGGTGGGCAGAGAGGGTATGGAGGTCGGTGGGTAGATCTGCTGCTGTCTGGTGGGCTGAAGTCTTTTGAGGGCCAGGCTTTTGAGGCTGTCATCGGGAATGGCAAACCCAGGCCAGATGGCCTGGCTTGTTGCAGGAGCAGCAGACGACGTCCATGAAGTGGCAAACCCGGCGTTCGTGCGCCTCCCCACAGCTGGCACATTGGGATGATGCAGAGGGGGCTTTTGCCGATGGTGCTTCCCCGGGGCGATGCTGTTGGGAGGAGCAGCGGCGGACCTGGAGCACTTCCTCGTTCTCGGAGTCGTCCAATTCGAGCATTGCTTGCGTGCGATGGACCGCCCGCACGCGGCGGTCTTAGTGCGCCTTTTTGTAGGCTGCGACCTCCCTGAGCACCTCGTCTAGGTTCAGGTTGTCCTGGCTAACCAGTTTTCTTTGGAGTTTGGGTTCCTGGAGACCCAAAAGGAACTGGTTTAGCAAGGTGTCCTCCAGGTGGGGAAAGGAACACCTGGTGGCCGCCCGCCGGAGCCCGGCCAAGAACTCGGAGGCTGGCTCAACTGGCCCCTGGACCCGCACAAAAAAATCCATGCGCTCTGCAAACTTTGTGGGCTTTGGTGAAAGGTGGTCAGTCAGCGCTTTCACCAGCACCACATAGGACTCATCCTTGGTCTGCTTCGGTGCAATGAGGTCCTTAAGCAGCAAGACGGTGTTGATGCCACAGGACCGGAGGAGATGAGCTTTTTTCTTACCCAGGTCTACGATGTCGTGGCAGTCGAAATAGCTCTCTAGGATCTTGAGCCAGGTCTCCCACTGCATGGGGCAGGAGATGTCGAAAGCGGCGATGCTCTCCTGGGAGGTAGCCATCGTACTGCTTCCATGTCGTGAGGGTAGCTCGGGAGCGGCAGTAGCGGCAGTGGCGGATGGAGCGAGGCGGGAAGCGCTGCTGCTCTCGGGATCAGCAGGGCGAGGTATGGAGCGAGGAGCGGAGCAGTGAGCGGCCACCAGAGAACCAGGGTGCGAAGTGGAGTGGCATGCGGCAGTCTCGGCGTTGGGGCTCGATGCGGTGCTCGAATCTTCGCCCGGGTCGTTGTTCATGGGAGTTAGAATCCCATCCTCGTCGCCACTGAAAAGTACTGAAACTTACTAGTGATTTCAGCGCTCATACTTATTTCAGCTCAGAACAAGACAAGAGTCACCAGCTCGCAGGCTGGTTTATGTGTGCATAACCCCGCACCCCCAAACACACCCACACCCAAGTGACTGGCTACTTACAGTGGCCGAGAGTTCCATAGGCTCTCGGCCAGGAGCCTAGCCTACCGATAGGTGCCAGCTAGGATCTGCTTGTTCTTGAGAACGAAGCTCTGTCGCTTCACCTGACCGCGTGTTGAAATGGCCACGCACACGGTCTGAGATGGATACATTACACCTGTAAAGCAATGTTGATTTAACCCCTTTCTTGATAATTACCTCTTATATTTTTTTCTTTAAAAAATAT